CCGCCATCTCGGAACAAAACCAAGAAGTTGCTGGCCTCTGATTTCTCCATTTCCTGTTAATGTCAGGGGAAAAAGCTCATTAGTTCATGTATACTGAAGGAAAGCAACCCTGTATTTGTATGTACATTTCCCTAGGTCGACTAGCCATACAATGTGTTGTATGTCACTGTGATGGAAGAATAGTTAAGTTACTATAACCTGATGCATTTGTTTGAATTTCTACTGTTTCCTGGTTATAGAAAAACTTAACCCTAAACTTAATTTTCCTCTAAATGTATTTCTCTTTCATCAACAAAATAATTCCAGCCTTTCCTCCTTTGCCGATCAATGTTAAGAAACAGTTCATTATATGTCCTGCAGAATTAAAAGCTTTTTCTTCATTGAGGGGCTTTTATTGTGAAACACCTTTTGTGAGAAGTGTATACTTTTCTTTTATACAAGTACAACATTGAAATGGAAATAGGCAGAGATAAAAAGGTCCCACGTAACATTTTAATCCACAAAGTTGTATGTGGCGTGCATATTTAGGACACCCCGACCCCTGCAAGTGTAAATAACAATAAATCAAACGCTCCGTGCCGTTACCTCCAGGATCTTGTTCTTTTGGCCCTCATTAACCTTGCCTGCGAGGCAGCAGTGGGCCAGAGCGTTCTGGATGATGTGCTTGTTAGATTTGGCACTGGGCTCCTTGTACAGCTTCGGTCCTGAATGAGAAGAGAGGAGAGAACGTCTTGATGGGACTGTTGTCATGGCAACTACTCTAGCTATGTCCAAAAAAAGATGTTCCCTTCCTATTTTCCTCTTGATAAATCATGTATGAAGATTGCTACTGGCTACATATCCATGTGTTATTAGAGGCATTCGTGTTTTAGATCTATTGAGCGTTACAAGAGGATGACTTAACTTTGGTAAAATACAAATGACAATATTAAAAAAGCACAACGCTACTTAATCATACTCTTCGTGCCTCTTAATAGATTAAAAACACTACCCTGTACGTTCAATATTAGCTGCATTGTAAGATCCAAAAAAGTAAAAATATGTTTATGATATTATTTCATTTATTATCATTATCTCATGTTAATATGAACCTTAATGTGTTTAAAACATAATGACATATACATATACTGTATACATGTTTAGTCTGCTAGGTTTAACATCTTACAACCAATGCTATAGGAGATATGTCCGAATGTTTTTTCTACCAGTGTACTCTGCGTTGGATATGACAGAGGAGGTTGTGGATCCGTTCTCCCAGTCCTTTTCTCCATTCCTGCTGCTGGAGCGGCTCGGGGACAGGAAGCCATCTGCAGAGTCTGGCCTAAAGCACACACACGTATACAAGCAGTGTCAGATGACCTTTCTGCATGGTTGCTGAGTATACTGTAGGGAAGGCAGGAGACTACGGTACTACTACACAAGGTGGCATCTCTAAAAACAAATCCTATAGCAGCATTGTTAGGTTGGTGTGATTTGACCTCGCTGTCGACATTATGTTGGTATATATCTATCCTTTACTGTATAGGGATTTATTCGTACTATTCCAGCCTAACTAGTAGCAAAGCGTGCAAGCACAGGCAGGGAGTGCAGTGATGTGAAGCAGTCTGGTGCAGTCAAGGTCAATCAATTATAGTGCAACACAAGGCATTTACTTGCTCTTTTTCTGGACTGCAACTGCATTTTCTCCAGAGTGTGTTCCATAGAATTGGTCTTGAGCTCTGAACCAAACTAAAACATTTACTTTAATGTTTTTATAGGTGCGAAAAAGCCAGAGTGGGAGTGGACATTGGTGAGGAAGGTACAGCAGAAACGTAAGTGAGAAAGACAAGTGATTTTGTGGTGGCGATGCAGCTAAAAGCGTAGCATTCGACAAGGGCTTTGAAGTGAATCATGAGGGAATAAGTTTGAAGTGAATCATGAAGGAATAAGTTGATTTTTCAAGTGCTCTATCAATCCATTATAAAACCCAGTGTGTGGAAAGGGTTTTAGTGCAGGATTGGGCTCAGGGCAGCGTGAAGAGGCTAAAGGTTTAACCGCTAAGCAGAGACTAACCTTCTCCTTCTCAGTTTAGGAGAGTTCAGATAGTAGAAGAGACCACCAGATGCTAAGCTAGCACTTCTGATGTGTGTGAAACGGCAGGAAAGAAAGTTTTAAAGAAGGAAGATAGAAGAATACAGGAAACATGTTAGTCCTGAGAACTGGAGTTAGTGAAGAGCTTGGCATTCAAAAAACAGAAAAATCAGAACAATCACCTTTACTGCACATGAAGGATGATTAAATAATGATGTTTCAAAATGACTACAAAGTCAAATGTTCAGGGCATTGCAGTTCCATATGTCAGCCCTGTATAATTCAGTGAGCATTTACTCTATGTATTGTGAATTTAATTTTTCTCCAAAGTTGCTAAGTAACTGTAATTCTTAAATTAGGTAAACCAGATTGACATTTCTAATTATTTCGAATAAAAGCAGGGTGCCAAAGTCCTTTATTTTGTTTTAGGACTGCCGATTTTCATATTTTTGATCATACAGCAAAGAACAAGCTGGCTGGTTTTCACCTAACTGAATGAATCAGAGTTATGTATCCAAACGTATGACATATGTAAAAAAGAAAAGATCTTCAAAACATAAAGGTTTAAGTTAACGGTTATAATACTATACTATAATAATAGTAGGGACCAAATTATTACAAATATTTGTATTGCATTTTGCGTGTGTTACATCATCAGCTAGAGTATAGAGTTGTAAAAGCATCTCACCTTGGCAACCTCTTCTCAGAGTGAACACTGTCGCTGTCTCCCAGGTTGAGGGAAGCCAGGGACAAGCTAGAGACTGAAAAGACACGTTGTCGTGAACCTGGACGTGAGGCGACATGTGACACAGCATGACACGGTTACACAGACACAATGAGAAACACAACAGCAACACAACCAGCCCGCTGTCCACTGGGTTTTCTGCCAAACCCTGTTGCAGAGCAATGCAATCTCAGTGTTATAAAAAAAAGTACTCTAACAGCCAGTAATACACACAATATTCACATGGTCATACCCTGTAACACATTACTCTGTATTATTATACAGTATATCATTCATTATTTTTATTTGACCCATACAAACTTATAAACATACAATATTATTGCATTGCTCCTTCAGTTTCATTATGTTTAAGCTCAACATGTTCGTCCTACTGTATCATTTTGGGTTTGTTGACTTACAGTACAATACAAATTGCCAATAATATTGGAAATATCAAAATTAACTCATTTGAAATCTGAACTAGACCAAATAAGATATATATATTTGTTTTATTTAGTTATGGAAAATAATAAAATATACATAGGAGATGATTGTGATTAAAACATATTTCTCAACTGGCTCAAAGCACAGTGGCAGCAGGACACAGATTCGACAGATGGGATGACCACGACCCTCTGAGTGGGGGTCGTCTCCATGGTTACCTGTGGCAGCTCTGACAGGGGTTTTGGGGGAGTCCATGCTTTCGCGATGCATAGACTTCGGACGCCCCCGCCTCTGCTTGGCCCCGCCCACTGGTCGAGGTTTGATGACAGTGTCCATGTCCTCCATCAGTTTCAGCTGCTTCCTCCTGAGATACTCCTGTTTGATGAACTCCCTCCTGACCTTCTCTTCCTCCTTCCTCATGCGCTCCTCTTCTGCTTTCAGTCTGCACAGAACGGAGGGATGGGTCAATGCAGAGAAATACTTTCAGGGGTTTTCTGTTAACTATGAGTCAATGATGATTTATGATTCTAAAAAGAAATAAAATATCAACCAAGTTATATATTCTACATTTTTCCTTTTATAAAATACATAAAAACCTTTGGCAATGCAATCACACTTTCTTTACTTTCTGATGAAAACTAACTTGCCTATTCTTTTCTGGACAGTGGTAGAGAGATTTACATTTATTTACAACCATAAAGGGAAAAGAAAGTAAACAAAGGCAGGAAGTAGACAGGATTGAAAACAGTAAAAAAACATTGACACACCAAACTGCCTGTTAACAGTGCTGTGCTCTATTCTGAAAATGCGTATGGACTTATTTTCCAGATCAAGTGTCGACATACCGAGCTTCCTCCTTCTTCTGCTCCACCTCAGCCTCCAGCTGCATCTTCCTCTGCTGGCTCTCCTTCTCTCTCCTCATCCTTTTCTCCAACAGTGCAGCCCTCTTCTGAGCCATGTCCTCCTCGGCCACACCATCCGCCTGAGACGTGAAGGAAGCAAAGTCAGTCACTTCACACCATCTACAGTTTTGATTATGAATGATGTCATTCAAACTGTTACTGTGAAAGCTCGACTCTCCTTTTTGTTATGGGACGAGACTGAGTTGGAAAGGTACATTCATCGGTATTCTTATTGAATTGAAATGTGAACCGTTATTATGCAAATGGTTTTATTCTGTTATTCTTCACGTAATTTGTATAATGTCTTGTTCTCAACATAGTCATATTAGGCTGCTAATTACCGGTAGTACAAATTGATTTCGTTTTCATATGAACATCCTTCGCTCATCCCCCAGCAGCCACCATCTATTTAACCCTTCTTTACCCACAGCTGTGCCTGAATTATTCACAACAGCCCCAGTTTCATGACCTACATCGAAACACAGACTGCAGCTAGCGAGACATCTTCCAACCCATTAATAGGAAGATGATGCTTTTCTCAGCAGACATGTTTCCTGAATCCTTAGAAACAATGATAAACACCAAACATGGCTGCCTCAGGTTCAAAATGTAATTGTGTTCAACCCAGAACTGCAGCATTGCTTTTTAAGGGCCTTGAATGGTCCTGGATAGTTTCTACATGGACTCTGTATGCTATGTTTTTAATCATTTATATTGGTGACACACATTGGAGACATTCTTTTGTATCATCTGCGTACCTTGAAGAAGAAACCACGAGATATCTTCTGTTCGTGATCAGCGCCGTCCTCCTCCCCCAGCTGCATCTCCAGATCATCATCAAGTGTCAAATCTTCCAGTGGCTTCACGACCGACAGAGGAACCTCTATCAAGCTGCTCTTCACTTGGCCTGGGTCTTCTGGCTGGGGAGGGATCTCTGAAGGTGTCACTGTGAACGTCTCTACCACAGGATGGGCCAGAACCTCAGGGACTGATGACTCGATGAGAGGTTTCAGAACTGAATCTGCTTCGGTTGGTTCTCCTTTGAGCTTGAGGTTTGGGGAGCTGGGCGCTGAATTAGCTACACATATACTGGCCCTCTCCCTCTCTGGGGAAAGGAGTGACTCTGTCTCCTTGTTTTTATCTCCATCTAATGCATCTGGATTGGCTGTTGCTGGTTTCTCCCCCAAGTAAACCATGGCATATGCCAAGGGCTGGGAGGGAGAAAACCGCCGTAGCCTGGGGATGCTGTCGACAGATTGTGGGGCAGTTAGGACTCGATTATAAGGGGCAAGCTTTAGCTCGTTGGGCCGAGGGTTGCGAGGAGTACGTGAGTGGAAGGAAGCAGATTTGCGTTTGATGCTGGTTGGAGAGCGGTGAGTAGAATGAGGAGAGTCGGCGGGAGAAGAGGGTCCTGAGGATCGGGTAACGGCTCGACTCTGTTTTTGTGGTGATGGGTTTGCGTATGAAGGAGGGATGACCCACGCCTGCTGCTGGTGTTGTTTCTCCCTCATGGCCATGATCACTTCCTGCTGCTGAGCCAGTCGCTGCATCTCGGTCTGAAGGAAGGCTAGTGAATGGTTGAGTTTGTCAATAGAACGTGTGTACTCTGAGAGATCTCCCTCTGTCAGCTGAGTCTGGCCCTGACCACCTTCCTCTCCTGCACACGGTGACTTTAACCAACAGGAGGCCGTGCTGCTTTGCTCTGCACCATCAGGTGTTTCTGCTTTGCTCCTCCCAAATTTAAAGGTAGGACTTGTGCTTGCTGCCTCAATTTTCCCTCCTTCCTCCCCACTTGCCGCCCCGTCTCCCTTTCTCTTGACCACAGTGAGAAACGCAGAGTGACCAACCTTTTGTCGATGCCTTGTAAAAGCAGCTTCTACTTTCTTCTTCTGTGCTTCGATGGCTTTGCGTTTCTCCTCCAGCCTCATCCTCAGCTGTACCATCTCCGTAGCCATGACCTGAGCAGGGTCATTTGCTGGCAGTTGTACAGGTGTGGGCGATGTTTTAGCAGTGAGGGGGGATGGGGTTTGTTGACGGATGGGGCTGTGCTCGGGGGTCGGGGCCCAGGAGACGGATAACGGAAGGCCAAACTCAGAGCCCTCAGGAGTGGTCTTGAGTGAGCTGCTGCTGCATCTCCCTGAGTCGGGCAATGATGGAGTAGGCTTCTTCTTCTTCTGATCTGCAAAGCTGGTCAACCTAAATCCTGAGGGGGATTTGCTCCGATTGCTCGGGCAGGGGCTTGGCGTGTCCATATCCAGGTCCATGTTTACAGAGCAGTCTTTCAGAGAGGAGTCCTCATCCAGCATGTCCTCTGTTCGGATATGGATGCCTGTGTCCACCTCTATAGTGTCTGTGATGCTCAGAGACCCTTTGGAGTCCAACTCTGACACTGGCTCCAAGACAGCAACACCAGCCCCTTGTGGGGAGTGCAGGAAGAAGCCGCTGTTGACCCCCTCCGCTGGGGGTCTGCTCGGGCTGTGGATAATCTGAAGGGCTTCCTCAATGGAGGGAGTTGTTGCCATGACACTTCCATTTCCGTTGGGGTATGCTCCTCTGCTGAGCTCCTCACCAGCCAGGCTGTCTGGGCAGCCCTCCTCATCGATGCCCACACTCTGACCGTTCACAGGCTGGAAGGACAGATTACGCTTCATTCCACGGGGCATGTGGTGGACTTTGAAACCAGAGCCGTCATCAGTGCTGACAGACCGGACCATCCCATGCATGGAGCCGGACGCAGAGTCCTCTTTGTCAAAGGGGATGTCAAATGACACTCCATAAGGACCAGACCTTAAGAGTAAAACAAACAAAGAAACCAAAATAAATATACAGATGTTTTTTTTTCAAATGAGCAGCCAATAAAACGTACAGCAATATAACTGACCTTTTTTCTTTTGGCCAGGTGCCGAGGTTTCCATCGACAAAGGACATAGAGGTTGACCTTTTGATCTCTCCTGGATGACACAAGAAGCAGAGTAAGAGTTAAAACACAGGTTGTTGTACCTCAAAGTAATCACAATTAGCTAAATAAGTACAATATGAATACATTCATAAAATCACCTGAGTTTCGAGGCTGTGGTCGGAGGGGTAAACTAGAGAATGAGAAAGAAAAAATTACAAATGTGTAAAATATCTGTTCTAAGCTTTAATTTGTCCGGATAGCGATTGCTTCATAAGTCCCATATAATCACACCTGCCAACCACCTGTCTAAACTACTAGCCAACAAGCACAAAGTCTCAAATGGACAACATTTCACGTGTTATAGATCAGACTAGCATACCTGGGTCTTTCAGGACTTGGGGGTCTTTCCATGAAGCTCTTCTTGGTTGCCTTGGAGATGGGGATGGCTGAAATGTTCTTCAACAAGGATGAGGGGTCTGTGGTCACACAACAGAGACAAATGATGATGTAACACACTTTGCTTTAAAAATGTAAAGCACATACCAAGCATATACCAATACTTCTTTCTACAAATGACAATACAGCTGCTATTGCTTTTAAAGTCAGAACTTAGAGACTTGAGACTTGCCTGTGCCTTCATGCTCCAGCATTCTTGGCTTCACAAAAGACGGCTTGACCACCTCAAACAATTGAAACAGCTCTGCCATGAACACCAGATAGTTATTCTGTGGAAAAAAATCAAATGAGACTAACATTAAAATCATGAGTTTCAGTTACATTTTGTGTCCTGTTGTCACTTTCCCACAATACAACAGCTGTTAAACTGCATTGTACCCATCTCCCCAGCAGGTGTCTCTGTTTACACTTACAAAGAACCAGAGTTAATGAGTATTACTTGCATCATCCAGTTTATGTATTTCACCAATCTTGTTCCATGTGACAGAGTATCGTTTAAATGTAGAGATGCCACATAGCTCTACCTGCAGTGGAGTCATTTAGAAGGGATCTATATTTATCATCATTTCAAAAAAGACATGTTCCAAAAGACTGAATAAACATAAAGAAAATGGCTTTCCTGACTTTAGAAGAGTTGGCATTTTCACAGAGTTTCTCTTAGCCAAGCTAGTGAACCCAACAACATCACTTTTCCAGACAAGCTAATCTGTGAACAGCACCTGTGTTAGTACAGAGGAGTGATTAAGGCATTAACCTCGTTTTTTTAAATAGAGGTCAGCTATTTTCTCCCGCTCTGAATCACCAGCATGCGATCCACCAGCCAGCATGAATTGGATCGGGTAAGAAATGTTAGAGGGACCTTTGCCACAGTGTCTGGCTGTGTCCATGCCTCAATCAGGTCAACATACAGTGGGAGGTCAAGCTGCTTGAGGACACTGCACTGCAAAACATTTTCATTTTACAAAGTACTTCCTCTCAGTATAACATTTTCCCCACACCTACTGTTGTTTTATTTCTTTGTAACAATCGTAAAATGTGTGGAATTTGAAAATCTATTCAACTTTATCTGCACTTTGTAAAAAAGCCATAATATGTATCCATTAATAGGCATAACATGTAAAAACACTAATGGTTCAACCTGATTTCTTTGTACATCTTTTTTGACATATTAAGTTTAGATTTTGAGTGAAATTAAATGTTTTAAACACATTTTAAATTTAAATCTTTGCAATCAGAAACAAGTTATTTATCACTGTTAACTGAATCCAGGTCAAACAGATCTTCTTTGACCTCTCTAGGAAATTAATATTTAATCAATTATTGCAGCAACTCAGTGTCTTTTGAAGTGAACATGGGAGCACTCACTAACAAATGCACACGTGCTCATGATATGCAAAAGGAGTGCAGTAAAGCGGGGGCGACCTTCAGGAACACGCCCCTCCCCACCCTCAGAACATGGTCTCCAGACAAAGACATGCTGCACCGCTCAGCTCTAAAGATACGTGATTTACCTCATCAGCAACATTTCAGTCTACCAAGCTCTCACACACACATCATACATACACCCCTTTTGCCCCTCAACTGCAGCCCAGAAGCACACCAGGAGGGGCAAAGTCAATTAACGCCAGCAGCAATGGTTTCCCTTGGGTTTTACTGCAGCATTTGAGCAGTTTTCATTGTTTTCTCACATGCTAGATAGCAGAGTTGCAAACGTGTGAAAACGTGTTTCGCTCTGACAAAATCTATGTGAAAAGCTGTAGTGCACATGGTTACCAAAATGAATAAAGTAGAGCAGAAACATAACACATTTGAATCTCTCATCAATCAGTTAATTTCTCTATCATCATTTTCTAGAATAGAAAATAATCATTTATTGTCATTATACAAGTACAACGACAAGAGTAACTACTTATGATTTGAGTTACATTTCCCTTTCTTTTGGCCAAACTGTTATGACTATAAATTGTTCTTAAGCATAGAATCACTAACACATGGCTAGACAAATACCGAAGAGCAGTTTACCTTTAGGTGTGCTCAGCTTGTAAAGCATTCCTCATGGACGGATAGGAAAAAAAAGACCCAGGTAGAAAAAGAGAAGAAAGAAATATTTCCCTATCGCCCACTCAGCTGCAATTTGTGGCGAAGCCCCGTCTGACTTCTCTTCCCATCTGCCCCTCTCACTACTACTGATACACCAGGTGTGAGTGCTATCGTTTAATACCACCAGTCAGCGGTCACACACACACACACACACACACACACAGATCCACACACAACTAAACGGCGCACCACGACTACGCCTATCTCCCTGTTGACTGGCATTACTACCCCTGCCAAGTCTGCACTGTTGCCAAGTCTGTCTGGTTTGGAGATTGGCGTGTCAGAGTGTGTCACTCTCAGGCAGAAAACAGGAACCTGATTGGTGATTAGTAGAAGAGGGCTCAGCTCAGGGTTGAGGCATGTGGGGGTGGAGGGATCTAATCCGCTGTACAGGGATGGGCATGAACAGTCCATACACAACACTGTCATTAAAGAGCAATGTCTACTGGGTTTTCCTGCATACAAATGCATTTAAACTGCTTAGAAATTACATATCCATGAATTATTATTAATTAATTACATATGTGCTTGGACAACACTGAGTGTTCATTTGACATTTATGTAAACAGTCATTGGGCAAGAGGAAAATGAAAGGACCGGCAGCCAGACACGATCAATTTACAGAACCCACTTTCAGAATTTACCAAACAACTTTATCAGTGTGCCCTCAAGTTGCCTATAAAACATATTTCTAAAAGTAGGAAAAACATCGGAAGAGAAATTAACTTTAAGACTTCTAAAATTGACCACACACAGACACGAGACGGAACGGGATGATATAATGACACTGAAAACAACGATTGGTTACACACAATCCTTCCACTCTTTTTAATGCTGGTCCATAATCTAGGGCTTATCCTGAGGCAACACTTACCGGTACTGCAAATCACTTTGTCAACTAATGACGGAAATGAACACAATATAGTTTTTGTAAATCATACTGAGAAACCAGTCTGTGTATGATATGTATCTGTTTATAGACTTATCTGGTTTTTACTGCAATGTCAGCATTGCTTATAACATTGCTGCTTATAACAGTCAGACTTAAACGCAAGAGGTTATGAAATACATTAAGTGTGTTAATTGCCTTCCTGAGGGCGACCTACAAACCTCTCCTTGTTTAAGAAGGAGAAAACACAGAAGAAAGCCCAAAGCTGGTGGATTTCATTTCTCCTTCTTAGATCCACAGATGGTATTTGAGATGTGGTGTGAATTCATTAAACAGCCAGTAAATGGGAATGGGTTGGCATGATTTACTAGCCTGGTGTCCATTAGGAAAGAGAAGCCCTAAGTGATGTTTGGTAAAGCTTTGGGGGTTGGGTACTGCAGGCCAGTCTTTTGTCTCTTATAAAGGCAAATTAAATATGAAGCGGACTGAACCTGTTTTACTGATCCAGACTGTTCACCCACTTTCATCTCACTCTCAGCAACAGACCCTTAAGTCTACTCACACGGATCTCGCACAAAGAGCTTGGGTTAGCTTGGCTTTGTTGCTGTTTTTCATGCTTTAAAAACAAAATCAAGACAATTGAATGTATTTTGGTTGGCTCTTAAAACCTATAAGCATTAAAAGAGACAACAAATGAATTAATAAATAGATACATTCATCAAGGATAATGGATGTATTAGTTAGTTGCCGCCCTTATTTACATAGAATGGTACGTTTTATTTGATTTCTTGTGCAAAAAGCCCATTTGGTTCTACACTTACTGTTATGGTCTTCATTCTAAATGGAAAACTTCTGATCTAAATCAAATCTGATCCTTCAGTGTTGGGCATGTCAGAAATCATACTAAAGCTGCTGAAGATGCTGTCCCTCTTTCTCTCTCTTTCACACCTCACTGTCTAAGCGTTTCAGACTCGTGGAGAAGTGTCTCATCACTCCTCTTTGCTCCTGCTTCCATTTTCTTCCCCATCAACACCTCTCTCACCTCCCCACCCCACTAATGTCTGGGCTCCATCTCTATAATGAGGTCTGCATTAGTGTGTCGGGCCACAATGTACCAATATGTTGAGCTACTGAGGGGGTAACTGCCTGGAAACTGGGTCAAGGTGACTGAATCTCACTGGTTCTGTATGCAGTTTTGGATGCACTGCTGCTCTCAGGCAATTGCTCTGACCGCTGGGATTTCTTTTCTTCACCCTCATAAAATCAGTGTCAGCAGAAAACTGCTGCTGGCTCGTCCACGCAATTCAATTATTTCTTTTTTGATGCTTTGTGTTCAGTCGACCGTTTATAGTGTTTTTTCCCTGATTTATAACTATATATTGGTACAAATATCAATATGTCTGCTAATGTTTCTGAGCACCTGCATATCATATATTTGTATATAATAAATTACAACAATAAAAGAATAGTGCAAGAAGTCTATATACACGTAAAGAGAATATGATATACACAAGAACAGACTCCAAAATGAAATATTGTGTAGTAAGATGAAATTCAATACTGTTTATTACAGTGATAACTATTTAGATAAATAAATAAATTGCAAGATGACAACAGATGAATGCTTATGGAGGCACTTAACAGAGCTCAGGCGTTTAGCAGTCGTATTGCCTTTGGGATAAAACTGTCCCTGAGCCTGCTGGACACACAATGTCTGTTTCATAACACAATTCAGTGAAATAATGCTCCTTTGTCTCTTTGGTTTTAAAATTCCCATGCATAACCATTTCTATATACAGTATATATTAAAGGAGTGTTTGCTTAACTATACAATCTTTTTTTTTTTTTTACCAGAGTCTAAAAAGAGTCAGCCTGTGCTGAGAACAACAGTTCTCCATCAGAGGACATGCTGAGGCAGAGTAAAAGTTATCCAGAGATATTAGCTAATGCAGCTCTTTGGCAAAGACTGCTGAGACTGACACATCAGGGACAAACACAAACACACAGCATGGACAGTAAGTTACACCAAACCACTGGACAGATTACGCTGTGTGTGGGAGAGTGGCTGCTTTGGGGCATTGTGGGAATTACGGCTATTGTTTGAAAAGGTTTTCTGCCAACAAAAATACTTTCGTTTAACATAACTAGAACGTTATTTTTAGATCCAACACAGATCTTTAACGTGAACAAATTAAAATATGAATGTAGCATGTGTTTAGTCCCACTCTGTAATGACACTAGTATTTGGTAAGAGGTTACGGAGAGAGTGAGTGAGCTGTGAGTAAGAAGTGGTAAAGGAAAGAAAAGGAGTGAGTCAATGAGAGACAGGAAGAGAATTACAAAAAGCTATTATTAAAAAAAAGCATAAGAAGTCAGAATGAATCACAGCAGTAAAAGAAAGACAGATCAAGCTTAGAGACGGAAATTAAGAAATAAAGTAAGAAAAGGAGAGAGTGTTTGAGGAAATAACACAGCTCTCCAGGGTTGGCGTTGGTAAAGACGGATTGTTAGGATCAAATTGGTTTTCCACAGGATGACTCACCACACTGGCCTACAGAGTAATAATGTTTCTCTTGATTCTCTCATTGGATACCACAAGTTGTATCCTGATTAGAAAAACATACGTTGTGGTCCACATCGTATGTTTTTCTAATCAGTTTCGTCAAGACACTCATGAATGAATTCGTATAATCAAGATTTGCATCTGTTTATGGAAACACTCATTCATTTAAGTACTGTAGAACTCAACATTTTGATGTCTCGCTATTTTGTAAACATGTCAACCAAGACCTGACATTTCTTCCAGATTCAAAGTAAAAATAACTTGCTTTTAAATGAGATCCCATTTGCTTTTAGATTGAGATATACTAACTGAAATTGGCATTTGTTCTTCCTGCTGGCACGCACACAATAGGCATATCCAGAGGCTCCGTTTCAACAAGTCAGAAGCTCAGCAGTTTGGCAGATATTTATCCAAGAATGCAACAACGATTACACACTAACTGTAAAAGCAATTTCAGAGTGGAGAAGTGTTCTGCAGAGAGAAGCTTTGGACACCAACACATAGAAGATCAGTGTCACACTATAGTATACTATAGACAACATGTGCCCTATTTTGGACTAAGAACTGAAACTCTTTTAAATAATCGTCTAGCTCAATTTATAAAACCAATTTCTAAAAAACAACTAGCTTAAAATAGATATCTGTACATATATAGACAATTAAAATACTGTTACTAGGTAAGTAACCTCAAACTGAAAAAATTGGATAATCTTGTATACTTACTGACAAATCTATCAAGCCCCAGTCAGCGGATTGATACAGACGTGACACCAAATTATGTGATATTTAATCTTTTTTTGGGGAAATACAATAAGTCTGGTGCTGCATGCAGCCAGGTCAGTGCCCTACCTTGATGGTGGAGGAGGCGTAGAGCATGTCCTCCAGGCTGAAGTGGCAGCAGCCGTTTAGGTTGTCTTTGCAGAAGTCCTGTATGAGCTGCAGGTTGTAGAGCCGGTCAGCCAGCGTCATGTTCTCCTTCAGACACACATCTGGGAGGGCAGAGGGAGCCATCAGCTGTCAATGTGACGTCGGTATGGATTTTATGATTAACTGGGCTCTGCTAATAACACCTAAGTGGTTTTTTAGTGTACTGATGAATTTTGTTTAAGATGAGAGATGGATGCAGTGTGTTAAATACAATGTTGAGGTTCATTTATAGGAAGGAACTGCTGAGGGGTCATAGCACACTGCTTTGTGACTGGCCAATCATGACAGGGGGTCATCGATCTGTGGGTGGAGTCAATTTCAACAGTGTTGAGTGATTGAGCTTTTGTTCCTGTGATGTTCTCAATTCAATTGAATGCCTGTGTGTGTGGCTATGTTTTGCAGAATGTGTGTGTGTGTGTGTGTGTGTGTGTGTGTGTGTGTGTGTGTGTGTGTGTGTGTGTGTGTGTGTGTGTGTGTGTGTGTGTGTGTGTGTTTAGCCAACCATCAACACACTTAATTAGCAATGTGATGTGATTATGTGTTATCTTTAGCTTTAGACTGATCTTTGATCTTTTGGATTAACCAGTCAGAAGAAGGAGACAAAATGACATAAATCTAGTATTTTTTCTGGTTTGAAAATAAAGTTTTTCATTATGTAATAGCAATGTGCCCTGAAAACCGATGTTTATTCAGTTTTAGTAGACAGGAACATTGTTAGAGCCAGAAAGGTGGAAAAAGGTAGCATTTGTTTTTTTGTGGTCGACGTAGCTCTTATATTCTTGCAGATAAATACACCTTCAGCCCACACGGACTGTAAGCTCTTTACCGTCCAATGGGAGCAGCTGAGGGCAGTAGAAGTGCAGCAGCGCGCCCAGTGCCGAGCCGTCTGTGCTGTCTTTCAGCAGGTTGTCCACTGGGGGGATCCAGGGAACCATCTGGGGAGAGGACTGCTCCTTCCTGTAGCGGGCCTGCATAAAATACAACTAAAATGAGATACATACCTTTGTGCAACATTAACATGCCTACGTCTGTAGTACCTACTGTTTCTTTATTCATATCATTAACTACAGCTGCACAACTGGTCATGTTTAATAGTGCGCCATCACACAAGCTGTCTCTTTAAAACAGCAACACTTAAGGCTTCATTAGATGTACTCATGTATGCAGGTAATTGAATGGTTCTGGAGCCTGTAGTGAAATGTTTCACTTGTTGAAAAGAAACAGCCAAAGTGAGCCCACTGAGAGGGGTAAAACACGCTGTGGTAACATATCAGTTCTCTACAAATACAATAAGAGCGCTTCACTGACCGTCAAGACATTGTGATCTGTGTGAGCCCTAATGGTATGATACCAAATACTTATTCCCTACATGTTAAGTGTTTTCAATTCAACAAATTAAATAAGAAGTATTTACAAACCGCACAGTCAAAATGTACATTAACTGTTAGTGCTGCCCAATGGCATACATTATGTAGTGTTCCACTCAAACACACACAATGTTAGAGGCAAAAGAGGCAATGTAAGAGTAAAGTAAGAGCTACCACAGGGATTCTGAAACAATGTAATGCCAAATTCTCCCAGACATCCCCTCTCTGAAATGAAATTCTAATGAAATTAATAATTTTTTCATTTTTCTTGGCTAATCCCTTTGGACCTCTCACTGATTCTCCAAGGGTGTCTAGTTCCACTTACAAGGACATTCACATTAGAAAATACATGGAAGCATGTTAGAGTTCATATACACAAATGTCTATTGTCTGTATAGAAAGGATATCAATAAGTGTAAGCTTTCAATTACCTATAGCTAAAAGAGGCTGTAGAGATTAAAGGATCATGTATTTACAATGTAAATCACACTTGACTGCTTTATTTCAATCAGAAATAATGACATATGAAACAGTTTAACTATTTCATTCCTATTTTTTCTGTATAGTAAGTTACATGAATTCAGCAAAAGGTCAAACTTGATAATCCCAACAGGGGAAGAGAGAGAGACACTGTGTTGATGTAACAGTGAAGTAACAGATGGATGTGCACGTGATAACATGATTGCAATCATGACACAGAGAGGTAGGGGCGGCAGAGACGGTCGCTATGGATACATAGATGAAAGCAAAGCACTGATCAGTTGACTTACGGGCACAAGCTTCATGTACCACTTGGTTGGTGACTGCAGAAGCACAAAGAAAAGACAACAAAGAAACACCCGTTAGTGAGATTTGCTAGAAATGCGATTAGTAATCCAAGGAGAGACATGACAGCAGTGACATCAAAGCAAGATAACCTGTGTGTTATTGAGAGCACATCAAAGTGACAATAGGTTCATATAGTGTTAAGTTTTAAATGTGTATCTTAGGTTTTTACAGCTTATATGTCCCCAGAATAAGAGTTTATTTATGACTAGACCCAATACAGGTCTATATGAATAGAATCACACTATAACTGAATAGTAAACAATAACATATTGAACATTTTAAAAGCCAGATAAAATAAAATGCACAAAATGCATCAAAACAGGAGAAGCAACGTACAAAAAAATGGTGAGGCCTTTTGTTAATGTCTTTGTCACATTCATTTCCAGGCACTAACTGATGAAGTTGTTATAAATGACTTATCAGCTGATATTAGCTTCAATTGTTGCATGTTTTTTCCCTGGAATGCGTCCATCAAATCGACACATACAGTATCTATTAAAGACAAATTCCCAGTCCCTGAATAGCTTAGATGAATCTTTATAAGGGAGCCTGTATTGTACCAACAAAATCATAAAATGTATCTTATTGTTATTAAAGCAAACAGCGTGTGCTTGACACCCAAAGTAACTAAAAGAAACCAAGTAAAAATCCATGTGAAGAAATGTTACCAAACTGTCAGCTATCCACTGACAATGTAAGCTGAGTTCAGAAGAGAAGAGTTAAACGCTAATTCCCACACTACCTAGACGCATCAAAGAACCAAATGTGAGTGCCACTCAAAACAGCTGGCAAGTGCTCAACTTCAAAGGTGAGCCATGACCTGTAAGAAAGTACTGACGCTTTGTACCGAAACCCCCAAAATGAATAAAAAAGAAAAGATCAGCCGTAGCTTTCTTGGATCTTCCTGATTTGATTAACTCTCTGGATGGGTCTGATGGCGTCAGAGGAGCACATGTGATGTCATCTAATAAACAAAATGTCAGTTCATTCGTCTGATCTATTTGCAGCTGAAAGGACTGCCTATGAATCGAATGCCCCATCATGAGTGTTACAGTCTTGTTGTGTTACAAGAAAGATAATACATTTCTATGTTTCTATTTGTAAAAATGCTCTTTAAATACAAATGGTTGACATATGAACACACACATTCTGACCATGTATATCCCTGTCAGTATAACATTTGGAAGTTGATATAAATGGAGGTATGTTTAGGGTTTTGATAAAGGGTGCTCTGATTACAAAATGGCTACTGATGCCTATAAATCACCTGCTAAGGGGTCAACCTCAAATTTCATTAAAGGACTATTCTGAATACACTTGCTGCCCTATAGTAAAGTAATAAGATGAAGGAGGAGAGGAAAACTGTTTACGAATAAGTGTTCACAAGACTGTGGGCCAAGCAGGGTCACACAGAGTTTACACTCTGTTATAACCAATCAAACCCCTGGGGAGCGGTAAGGCCCTCATCCATCGCCTTACAGAAGAGCACACACACACACACACACACACACACACACACACACACACACACACACACACACACACACACACCATTTTACCCATGTGTATGTATGCCCCCCACCCATCTTCAATCATCCTGTGACTCTTCCTCTTCCCCGTCAAAGTTCATCCTCTAAAGCCAGACATGTCCGGCTGGGCTCGGCTTGGCTTTTAAAACTTAAAAGGATTAGTCCTTTCCTCTCTGTCCTGACGTTGCCTTTACAGTCCCACCCACCACCACCAACCCCCTCCTAGCCTCCACCCACTCTCACCCCTGGGTTAAGTACAGTACGTTCGAATAAAACAGTGTTGCTCCGGTGAGCGCTACAGCGCCGTCTGACTGAGACAGAGGCTGCCTGCGTGACTCACACTGCAGTCATACAGCAGAAACAAAAGGGGGGAGGTCTGGGGGTTTGGGGAATGATGGAGTGATAGAGGAAGGATAGATAGAGCTGCAAGACATCAGCAAAATAAACAACTCAAAATAGCTGCTGTGCATTATTTTGTTTAGCATATTAGTGCAGTTTTTAGTTACTTTGTTTCCCTTTGTTTTTTTGTGTTTTTTCGGTACCTAAAAATATTTCCCCCCATTTTCATGGTTTAGAAAATATCACACTTATTTTTAGTTTACAACGTAAGAAGTATATATATACTGTATATACTTATACAAATGTTTTATAGGGGGGACAGAAAGAGTCATAAAACAATCTGGCAGTTTTGTGACCACCATGTAGAAATCAGGCCCAGAGTAGCCATTTTATAACTGAAATACTAAAATAAAAAAATAAAAAATAAAATATTCTAACTGAAACACTGAAAAAATAAAAATAAAAACCCACTAGGGTTTATCTGCTTCATCTGCTAACACAGCATGCAGTTGTTATGCAATGTCTCCTATTTGAGGCAGCAATACCATTAAGTTAGACTTAGACACACATTTTAAGTTAAAAAAACTCTTGTAAACATCTGGTTGGTTTTAAAATAGACTAAAATGATTCAATTTTTCGTCAAGTCAGTTGGCTCAAATGTCACTACTACAAGGCAATGCTGTTATTTTTGATATTAGTGAAATGTAACTTTTTTTAAATCAAACTGTTTCAGCGGGATTTAAGAATCATTTAATTAATCTGAAGGCGTAGAAGTGCATCATCTAACGATTGTGACTTTCATCACAGTTCAGACCAGAACAATGTAGCCATATGCAAGAGAGAGTTTATGGCGACTCAGCGACAGGAATAATTGACGGTTTTAGCTCTTGACATTGAGTTTTGGAAACAGTTTTCTTGGGCAACAGACAAACAAATAGAGATGAAATGATTGCTCGCTTGTCTTCGAAGCAACTTTATCAGTGTGTGTGTTAATGTGAAAGCTAGGGCATGAATAGCTGCGTCTGCACAGTGACCAGTCAGATCAGCATCAAACACAGTGACACACACACACACACACACACACACACACACACACACACACACACACACACACACACACACACACACACACACACACACACACACACACACACACACACACAGACTCTAGAGTTCAGTTGAGAAGGATTGACCTGGTTCATGACTTCCAGGGGTCACTGAAACTTGCTAAAAACATTGCATAATTCAAAAAACACAAAAAGTCACCTTTCTTTCTGAAAAAACTGCTATTGGTGCATAATAAATGATAGAGGGGAGAATCATCACCAGAATGATAGCATGAAGGATGAATGTGACATCATCCTCTAACACATGCGCACTGACCCACGCACACACACACTGATGCTAGAGTCAGTTATATAACACATGTGTACTGCGGGCAGGTCACTGACCATGGGTGACCTTGCACTAAATGACTGCTGGATGAGACCACAGAACACTGATCTGCTGATGTGACTGAAGCTTGTTCAGTGGTCAGGGTGGACAGACTCGTTATGATGTTGTTGCCTGGCAGTCTCTCTCTTTCCCATTTTATAAATACTAGCTTAATCTAAAGCTCAGACATACTGTTTGTTATGGAGATTCTTCGATGTTAGCTGTGCTTTAAGGGCTTAGGATCTTTTCGAGGACCTGGTCTAGATATCAAAGAGACACAGAGCACCCAGACGGATATCTGTCAGTCAAAGGGAGAATGTTGTGGTAAGTCCATTAAATGGGGCTAAGGATTTCATTCAGCCTGTTTGGGAATGTCTATCAAACTGTTGAAAAGGTGTTTGTTTATGTGTAGTTATTGAAGTGTTGGCAGAGAGAAAAGGAAGGAAAAACACTCACCCGAGGACTCCCAGCAGGCTCTGCGCTCTGTGTCTCACTCTTCCTCTGCTCCTGAGCCACAACGTCTTTCAGATACTCATTCACCTGATGAATAGAGGATGAACAAGATTACAATTAACTAAGCATCCGTGAGCAAATATGAGTAACAGACTATGACTACATCTTCTAAGTGAAGTTGATATTGAAATTTTACTTTTCAGCTGTGAAAATACGATACTGAATAAAAATGACTACACTGTGATCATTTTGGGGAATTTTCGCAACAATAGAAATACAAATTAAATCTGAATGAAATCAAATTGTGAAAAGTGAATATGAACTAAAATGACTGAAATCAAATTCGATCTCACAACCCTTTCCAGTTACTTATGCCTCTGGAATTCATATGGATCCAGTTCATGCAGAAATCAGCTGTTAAGTTTCAAAATGTTGGACATTTGAAACACATAGGAAGTCTGACAGAGAGCCATATGTCCGAGCAGTAGGACTCCGCGACCACACCTGTTAGCTATTGTGTGTGTATGTGTGTGTGTGTAACGCTCATAGTTGGCAGGAGCCCAGTGTTCCTCCTGGAAGAATGTAAACAGACTGGGCCCTGTAGCATGTACGAAGGCGAAAGTACCATCTGTATAGGCAGGCCATGTAGCCAAAGAACCTGATTCACACAGAGCAGGCTGGTTGAAAGGGTATTAGGCCAGGATCTAGGCTATAGTATGAGCCCAATATGGATCAAATGTTTGTGAATCTACAGTAACTTGTGCACAGCATGAACATCTTCTTCATGTTGATGTTATAGTACAACTCCAATGACCAGTATCTTAAAATCTGTCCTTGTAGTAACAGTAAATCTGTCATTTGAAGAGATATACCATTACCCACCTTGTTGATCCAGGTGTTCACTGCGTCCTCTGTGTCGTAAGGTGTTTCCACCTCAGGGTCGCGGTACGAATACTGACAAATGCAGGCCATCACTTTTTCAACGCTCACCGTCTCCACAGTGTATGCCATCATCAGAGTGTCGATCATTGCCATGTGAGCGCTCTGGAAGAGAAAACAGTACGAAGAAAGGTTTAGAAGGTAAAACTAGCAGCTTTGAGATGGCTGGTAATACGTGGCGGACTGGCCATCGGGACGTTTGGGACGAATCCCGATGGGCCGGTACCGAAGTGGGCCGGTCGGAAAATGTGGGCCGGTCGGATAAGTCACTAGCAGCCCCGCCTCCCCTGTTGACAATTTACTAGCGGTACCACAGTTTGCTGGTCGGATAATTCAGTAGCAGCCCCCCCCCCCGTTGACAATTTACTAGTGGTACCGAAGTGGGCCGGTCGATTTTTAGTCCCAGTCCACCCTGCTGGTAATAACGGCAGATGCTTGACGTTGGTTCATTTCCTGTAGTAGACAGTATATTAGCCAATGCTCTCAGTCACCAGCTTCAAAGGTCAATCTCAACTGCAGTGGTCAACACCTTGTCAAAGTGTTAAACTATGTGAGATAACAGAAAAGAGAATGAAAACCAGCCCAGTTCTTTTCTTGACACTGCATCCAAAGAGACAGATCACTTTGCTCTGAGAGGAATTGAATCGGAGACCATGACAGCTTTTTCAATTTCAGTGACGGATTGAGCTGTCTACATTGAGCTGTGACCACAAGACAATCTGATTTCTAAAGATACAAGATAACACATACACTAGCATAAAACTGAGCATTTAAGATTTTATTAGAGTATGAGAGTATTGTCAAGGACATCAGAGTGTTATCAGTATAAAATCACAGCAAGTCACTAATAACAGGCAAAGCCAAAGGTCCATTGAGATGAGGAACGAGACACGAACAAAGGAAAAAGAAGCTTGACTGCAAATGTGTATCTGAGCAGGTTAAAATAGCAACTTGATCTTAAAACCTTTTGTAAAGTTTGAAAATGTCCCATCTGTGAAAGGGAGACCGAACTGCAAAGAACTGTGGGCAGCAAGGCCTTTGTTCGCACAGTGGTTTATAGGATTGGAGTAGGACTCGAATCCTCCGCTGTACATCTAATAGCGTCATCAGTTTGACATTCCCTTATGGCCGTTGCCCTGGAAACAAAGGCCTTCATCCCTGGTTACAAGACCCAGTTTGCTCACGGCGGCTGCTACCCTCTGACCAGCCTGAATAAGACATCTCTCTGACAACTGAGTCCAATTCATAGAATTGGCATCCATACGAAGCTGCTTTACTCATCTTTATCACCGACTGCAGGGTTTGATTTTGAATCAACAAATATAAATCAATGTTGGGACAAATGAACGAGTTCACCATACAATGTCTCACCAGTATCTCACAGTGAACTTCTTTAACCGTGTCCGACTTTCCATTCAGAGTTAGTGGTTGATTCAGTTCTTGGCTATGAATCAATGTCAGATATGAATCGCTGCGTGTTGTGTGACTACTCCTCTTCTTTGGCTACGCTGCCAGAAGGAACTCTTTAAAAAGATTTAGTTTCAATCTGATAACTAGTGTGATACAAGAAAAAGAACAAAGAAAGGTGCAGCTACCAGTTCTATGCTGAAATATGCATATATGTTAACACTGTCTCTTTCAGTATCGAGTTTCAATGATTTACGCATCACCTTTACGACTTTTATTTAAATGATGGATATGTGATTTTGTAATGAAACATATTCCCCAATTCTTATTTACACTATTTCCTTGTTTCTTGTCATAACTTTATTTCCTGTAATCATTATTAGTAAATCTTCATCATTATAATCAATCATCATGAAAATATGAAGCTAAACTATCGAAGGCATTTTTAGAGTCAGGTATGAGACAAGATAGACATGTTTGCTGTAAGCTAAGAGTATCATTTTACATTTTTATTCAAACAGTTTAGCTCCCAAGCATCACAGCAACCACATTTGTAATCATTGTGAGATACAGAGGAGATGTCAGTGTAATATCAAGGGACAAAAGTTAACTGTGAATATTTATAAAAAAAAAATAATAATAATAATAATAATTCATGAAACAACAAATATACAAATACACTCTGGCCCTAATACTATTAGGGCACTCAATCTCAGGTATTGTTTGTGGGACACTTTGTACATGTATTCAAGAATCATAGATTTATAGATTGGTGATCAAGTGAGCCTAAACAAAAGACTTGTAATCAGAATTGAGAAGTATACATGCCAATGCCAAAGCAAAGTTTCTGTTTTCACAGTGCAGCGAACGGATTTAGGGAGGAGGCTGTGGTGTTAAATAAATCTGTTTCTAGTTTGGCAGTTTATTTTTGGAGAGTCATGCCTAATTAGCTCGTGCTAAGTAGCGATGTTACATCATGAAACAGATGCTATGTCATGAAAGACAACTTCAAAGCATAACAAAAGTTATAATATATAAAGAGAATAGGCACATTATTTATCTTGGTTAAAACAGACCAATACAGAGCTAAAATAACCATTCAGAAAACAGTCTTATCAAGACTTATTGACACAAAAAAATCCAGTACCAGTCACTTTTTCACTTTTACGCTGCTATGGACATTTTTGCACTGTCAATTTCACTATGTACATCATCTTTTTTTATATATACATCCTGCTTACTTTAAGTTTTTTTTTGTAATTATTGAGTGTTCTTGTATTTTAATGTGTGTTTTTTTTATACCTCAGGACTGTGGAAAACAGTATTTCCATCTTTCTGTGTGTACAAACATATTTTGAGATTGACAATAAAGTTGACTTTGACTTATAATAATGCCTGTTTATAAAAGGTGCCTATTCTTAGAATGACACTCCTGACATGTAATCCATCACTTTTATTTGCATTGTGATCGGTATTAAGAGTTAAATGAGGAACATTTAAAGTAAACTATAACATTGTTTTCATGTCACCATGGTCATATCTGTGTAATCTGTGTATTTCAGATCTTGGCTCTCACCTCCCCTTTATCTCCCTCTAATTGTCTGTACTTCCTTGTGTAACCACCCAAACACTACTAAGGAATTAAAAACATCAAATATTTATACTTGTGCTGCAGGTTTTCCATGAGCTAGCCCAGCCAATCATCCATAAGCAGCCCCTTTTAGCTCCACAACGATGAGGTGCACCTGATGTGTTCCTTTTCTGCACTCTTTGTAATTTGTGTGATAAATAAAATAAGATATTATTTTTCCTCGAAGCTAAAGCATTATATAACGACGTTAGCTGTCAAGTGAGCAGCCAGCTATGTGCACATTTCTGGCGGTAAAATTATCTTGCTGTTTGACATTGCATAGCTTTACCCTATCTCTTGTCTGGCAACCCAGTGGCAAACCAATCCCATGTAATAATACACTGCCAAGATGTTTCCTATTGGCCACCATTTATCCTGTCTAAACATTGTGAAACATTATCCCAGAAAGGAACAACAAATGCACACACACTTCCTGGTATCAGTTTGTAGCGCAGTTACAATTCTGCCTTGTCATCAGCTACAGGCAAGACCAATTTGCAAAAAGCCAAGAGATTGCCATCATTCCTCAAAGGCCTCTTTTGCCTCCTGCTTCCTTCCTTCTGCTGAGCAATAGGAGGAATTGATTTGGTGCTGCTCTGGTCTGATGAGATGACAGCAAGGGGAACTAATCTTGTTTAGTAGACTTAAAGACCTGCTGTCTCTAATCATATTGAATGACTCCAGGGCATTGTGTAGGAGGAGGAGGAGGAGGAGGAGGAGGAGGAGGAGGAGGAGGATGGTGTAGGAACACAGGCTCATTCCACGGCCATATTGTTTGACACTGAGATCGTGCAACTTTATAACGTGACAAAGCTGCTTCCTTCAGCATTTACAATTTAGATATGTTAGCAAGAAGCAGTAGTTACAATTCTACCAACTCATGCAATCGTCTCATTGTATTTGAATAAGAGTCACTGTAATGTAATACTAATACAATTAAAGTTAAAGGGTCATCTGACTGTAAACGTCAGATAAAAGCCAACATTTAAAAAATGCCCTGGTGAGTGCAGATACAGTAGTAGTTGTGGTTAAATGAAGAAAAGGAGAAGAAGAGAGGAAGGAAGAATGGGACGGAGAAAGGAGGTGGATTCACAGCCCAAAGACAGGGTTAGCCTTTCTCGTACTGCAGAGAAAACGTGGATAAGCTGCTTACTAGCTGACCTGATGAAAGTGATCCCATGACGTCATGTTAGCTGACCTTTCCTTTTGCTGAGCATACAGTATATGCTTTCCTTCAGCATTACTTTACTTCATATGTTCACACACACACACACTGTGAGCAGCCCAACTGGAGCACTTATGGATCATATGTCGTGCTTCAGTGTATCTGTATGATCTGCAAGAGGGGAACATGTTGATAACTTGCTCCATTTGATTTTCTTGGATTAAAAAATGAGGACTCACTGATTATAAGACTACTTCCCTAACCTTAAGTCTCTGCTCCCCCTAGGATACCTCCTTTACCATATGCTCAGTACGAAAACTAAACTGATGATAACTTATTTGAGTCACACTTCAATGAAAGAATTGCATACAGCCATGGAGCACTCAGCATAGGGCTGCTCAATTAATCTTATTTTAATCGCAATTACGATTACGAAAACAACGTAATCGGAATAAAACTATTATTTTTTTATTATTATCATTACTTTTTTTTTTAATTACTTTTTTTTTTTTTTTTTTTCAATTATACTTAAAGTTCAGGGTAATCAACTGTTAAAAACATACTGTTAAAAAAAAAAATCCTCCAATAAATTGATGTTTTCAAAGTAAATGGATAATCGTTTTTAATAATCGTGATAGTAATTATTGACCCAAATAATCGAGATTATGATTTTTGCCATAATCGAGCAGCCCTAACTCAGTATCTACAAACAAGATGTTTTGCTCTCTCATCGAAGATGATTAAGTCTATAAATCTTGTTTTGATTTCTCACGAGGTAAGGAAATGCTCCTTCACGGCCAATATCCTGGTTTTATTGTGCCGCTTCATGGCTGCCTCTCTGATATTTCTACCCGGGGAGATAAGCAAACACTGTTGATCTTTAATACGGCTTCTCGGTGCAAGAGGCGAGATGAAAATCCACCGTGTAAGAGCCTGATTTAACATTGCACAAAAGAAATGCCAAAACAGACCGCAGCAACCCACAAAAGAAAGTGTGTGTTGTATTTCACCTCATCGTTGTGTGTCTGATAATCCAACATCTCTATTGTCAGAGCTTTGAACTGCTTGTTGAGACATGAACCAGGTAGTGGAGGAAGCACAATTCGTCACTGTACCACACCTATTTCCTAAAGGATCTCTGAAAAAATACTTTTGCTTCAACCCTCCGCTGCATTAAGGGGTTCCAACGGATCGTGGCTTATGATCAGTCTGTGCCTGCTTTTATTGGAGTGCTAGACTTTCATATTATTTATGATAAACCCCAAAGTTTGAAAGCAGTGAATGAGCATAAACGGAAAAACCGACACTCAGCATAAAGCTTAGGGGGTGATGTAATATTGAAATGCAGTCTGCTTTTTGTATTACAGCTCTACTGTGCCCCAGGGGCTCCCTGCTGGGGCATGTGTCTAAACATTGTTCATGTAACTTCAGGCACATGGACATCAGCTGGACATGGAAAAGCTTTCATCTGCAGCTCTTTCTGCTCTCTTCTGAAGGTCACCAGAAGTACTGTCAAATTGACGGGGAAAGCAGGAGGACTTATTGCTATAAATAAATGTTCTTAGCTCGGGGGAAAAGCATAAAACACAGTTAAAGAGCTTATCCTTTCTACTTTTTCCGTTTGATACATGGCACGATAAAAAGAGAACATTCAGATAATCAGATAATCTTTTATTCCTTGCATTTGGAAGCACAGGTATTCGCTACCTGTTGAGCTTTGCTGCCTGTCACACTTTAGCCAATACTAAAAACTCCAAACTGAGGATTTTTAGCCAGCTATAGCAGAAAATCCTTTTACATTTCTAACTACCGGTATATTAAAACCCTTCAGGTGTTGTATTCCAACTGAATAGAATCAAACCATTTAATGAACTGAATCACGGTTGTTCCCAGACACATTTCACATCACCAGTCAAAAGGGTAGTGCTGCACTTCATCTAAACGGTTTGAATGACACAGAGCTGCCTTTGGAATTCAGACAAATTCTCACAGAATAAAAGATATATGTATAAAAGCGTGGTCATATAAAACCTCACTATTTCTGTCTGTTCTCCATTTAGTCTTTCCTTTTTAACTCCTTTAACAGCTTGTCCAGTTTTGTGCAGACATAAAATGCTCTTGCACACAATTGCACACTTTTCAATGCACAAAATACCAACTGTGAGGTCTGGCATCACTTGTGGGAATTGAGCTTTAAAACAGAATACCTTCCCCCTCCATATGCTCCAAACCCAACCTAGCAATTATATGGAAACCTCAAAGCTAACCTTAGAACATCGTATCTGGGGATACGATCGCGGCTACCAGCCAGTGTTGACCCAGCCCCGAGATATGCCTGCACTGGAAGTCCTGTGTGAAAGGAACCTCTGTGTGGAAACTGTAACATGTGCGGATAGGTTAGGGATTTGATTTAAAAGAAAGGTATACTTATTTCAGAAAAACATGGTGGTCATTGACCTTACGTTCAGAAAAATATCCATGTGATAACGCATATCCGATTTAAAGTGATCACAGAAGGAAATTAGCTATATCGCTAAAGCTACATTTTTGCTAAGAGCTATTCATCTTATCCACTGTATCTGTCCAAAAAGCTTTCTTTGTTCTTTATATCTTTGTGATATGCACGTGGAGAGAAAGAGAAATATGAGTTTTATTTGTTTTGTTTTTATATTTTTTTGATACGTTGCATATTGTTTAATTGACGTTAGTGTTTGATAATGTTTGATGATGTTTGTGAATATACATTTCTCACACAAACTCCAATAGTTTAACAAAATAGTAACCCTCGTTTAATTGAACCTCATGAAAAGGTTTACCTGTGTAAAGCTCTGTAAAGGGCCACCTTTGAAGCAGCATACATTAATAACGGATTAAGTGCTATTATAGTATCACTAATCCAAATCCCACACATTTGTAATGTCGGTTAAAAGCAGAACCAGGTGAATATTTTAGGATTTGTAAAGCTAGAACGATTTGTCACAAAATCCTCTGCTTTACATTCCAAAGAGAAAATGACACAGATTTTCTCTATTAGTATAATAAGCTTATTTTGACATTACACCAGGTCAGAATATAAAGCATTTAAAACGTACATCGTTTTAGATGTATACATTTACCAGAGACCTTATTGAACAGATGAAAGAAGAATGGAATACAAATAATCATCTTGGTGAGGAAATCTTTGTGTGTTTATGTACATAACAACCTCTTTCCAGGTAGGTCTTGTTTAATGCTTTTTTGAGTTACTGCAGGATTTGTTTACCTCAAGATGACATACAATGTAAGTGGAAAAAGGAAATCTATGGCCAGGTTATTCCTTCAGGCTGAAACACCAGGCACTGGGCGGAGGTATTCCCTCATAGGCCGAGCTCTATGTCACGCTCCTGGGTTCATGTCACGGTTGTAGTTTTGTAGGTTTGGGTGTTTTTGCTGTTTTCCATGTCATGTTTTCCTCTGGGTTATTGTCTGGTCCTTTTCCCTGTGTTTTTCCACTTGTCATTAGTTTCCCTGGTGTGTCTAGTTAACTGATTGTGTTCACCTGGGCCCCTGTGTTTCCTCCTCCCTCCTCACCTGTGTCTTGTTGTGTGATTAGTCTTTTGTGTATTTAAGTTCTGGGTTTTCTGTCTGTCTTTGTCGGTTCGTCTTGTGTTATGACTTGGTCTGTGGTGAGTGTTCTGTTCAGTCTTTGTTCTTAGTTAAGCCTTGAAATAAAGGAGTTTTTTCAGTTTATATCTGCATTTGGGTCCTGCTTCATTCACAAACCGTAACACTCTAAAGCAGGGGTGGGGAACCTCCACGGCCCGCGAGACATTTGATACGGCCTTCGAGGTAATTTATAAACACATGCACATTTTTATTTTTAAAGAAATCTAGACCGCAAAAGAATTAAACAAGCGAGTTCCTGTTTTTCCTGGCCAAGGTCAGGGTCCTTGAACACAACACGAGCCTAACGTGTCATCACGTGGTATATGTCTCGTCTGACAGGGGTGCAGTTATGCCCGATAGCACCAGAACGCGGCTCCGGGACTTCACAAATGGCAGTACCCATAAGGAGCCGTACACATGCCGCAGTTTCTGCGTGGCTGTGTCTTTAGTTGAAAGCCCAGTGGCGATCTGTTCATCTGTCAAACTGACCATACAGTCAATACCTTTGTTGTTATTAGCATCTGGTTAGCTAGCTATGCTAACGAATATAAGAAGGTTTTTCTCCAACCAGTGAGGTAAAGGCACATCTGTAGCATATGATCATTATAGTTAAAGTAAACTGTTATAAAATACTATATGACGGTAAAAAATTTTTTGTTATTAATAAACAAGAATACAGTTTGAAAGGGGAGTGATTTGTAAAATATCCATAAAGTAAATCTGCTTCCAGTTCTGTTTCATATGGGTGTTGAGAGATGTATCCATTGATCTCCTAGTGTTGCTCTCAAAGTGCACCAGATTGATGCTTTTAACTTCAACATTTAAAAAAATCTCTGGGGAGCATGCCACCGGACCCCCCTAGAGGAGGTGAGGTCCTCCCCCCCCAATTCAAATCATGTTCACATGGATGGTAAACTAAATACATTTGCACACATCTTGTGTCCATATCTTTCTGTTTTGGTGGTCATGCCACACTGTGCCCGTGCATGAATGCGCGAGTCATGGTGAGATATCTGGATTAAGAGGTTGCTTTTTCTTTGCACAGAATGAAAGAAAGGCCAAATGAATGGGCTGTGATTTTAGTATTTTTAAGCAGAGGTCAATCATTTGTACGGCCCTCGGAGGATGTTGAAACAATTGAAATGGCCCTTGAGAGGAAAAAGGTTCCCCACCCCTGCTCTAAAGGGACCAAACACACAGATCTATATATATCATGTCTTTGAATAATGCTCAGTCTACCCTTTCACCAGGAATCAATTTGCCTTAGGTAACCTGACCAGGAGCTGTTTCCTCTGCAAACAAACCGCACATGAGCCCACAATCCATTTCATTATAATAGACACTTACTGCACTTTGAACACAATTCTGTTAACTAGACTGAATAAGCAAAGTATTACAGGCTCTGAGTCTATTTGCATGTATTCTATCAGCTGAACATAAGCATGTTTTCTTCTATGTGCTGTTCAAAAGCCTCTAGACAACTGGGCTCCTGTGTTCTGGGTTCCTGCCTCAACCCTTATAATGTGGACCCTGCATTACAGTTTCTCTTTGCCGATAAAACCCTATATTAGAATAAAACAAGATATATCATCCGACTAAATCTAGCCAGTGCAGAGAAGATGCTTTAGGACATCACATGATGAGCTCGCTGCTGCCTGCCTACCCATCCATACTGTGCTGCCTGGGAGTCGCCGCTGGCATGGAGCAGAACATACTGGCTGCGACTCCGCTGAAGATGAGGACAGGCAGCACTTGGACGGGCTTCCCTTCCACCCTGCTGCTCCAGCTCCTCTTTGTTCCTGAGATCAAGAGCAAAGAAGGAGAAGCAGGGCAGAGGAAGCTAGTTTGATGAGAAGTCTTTTTTTGAATTGCTTGGCAGCATACTGTACTTCACTGTAAGTGTGTGTGTATCTTTGTGGAATGTCTTAGAAAATACCATCTGCCTGTTTGTAGGAACCCAGCCCTTCAGTATCCTCTTCCTCAGAGTGCGGCAGAGCCCTCTCATAGCTGCACACATACAGGCAGATTGCGCATATGACATATGCCGTCATGAGCACCCCCGCTCATGCACCCACCTACACACACACCCTGCCTACTGGAGTGTAACCATGGAAACGGAGCGCCTGCTCAAAAGGGGTTGTGATGGAGGAAGCAGAGGAAGAAGAAGAGGGAGACTAACAGGAGGAAGTGCATTCACCTCTATTCATCCACGCAATACAGGAGTTAATTATTCAGTCGGTCACACAAGAAAACTGAAGTGACAGACACTTTTTAGAATCAATTAGGAAATGTTCATGTACTGATCTGCATATATTTACATGTACTGTATGCAGTCATTATTTAATTTGAACATACAACACATAATGACTGAGTCAATACAGACTGATGCATTTACTGTAGCACAATGCATACGTTATTAAAACAAAGTTAATGATTCACATAATCATGTTATAACTAAATTATATAGTCAAGAATTTTAAATAATGTGAATTTAATCTTATTATTAGACTTTCTTTAGTCTTGAAAATAAAACACAAATGCATTATATGTGTGGAGAGCGCCGTTTCTCTTTTTTGTTGTGTAGTGTTTTTTCTTTAATTCTATAAAATATTATTATTTTTTAATTCGCCTTAAGACTGTATTTTTCATATTTTTATATATTTGAGATATTTTCAAATATGCTATGTACTTGGGGCTATGTACTCCTACTCTTTGAAATACATGGTTTTCAGAGTTTTTGTTGTATTTTTGTACGTTAATGGTTGCTAGTGTAATCAGTATTAAAACAATTCTAACACTTTCTATCTATTACAAAGGGGACAACTGATAATGTTGCACAACACCCTAATAATACCTTCAGCATAATCATTTGCAAGTGGGGTTTTTGACATTGATGATGTTCTTATTGGGAGCTGCTGTAGTGTTTGTGTACACATGTCCTGATTTGTTGCGCAGCTAATGTTACGGTCCTGTGTTGTAATATGTCAACAACAATTAACCAGGTCCCATCTTCTTTGCCACGGTCATTTTCACTTGGCTGAATTAAGTAAATGTGTTGCTGTTTAAATAACTTTCATGTGACATCTGGTGCTTTACATTTACCACAACTAGCAATCAAATTAGTAGAGAAAGCAAACATGGGAGTAGCTTCCACATTACAATGGTGCGTAATTAATTTGCCATAAGGCTGACAATACATCTAAAGAAACGCAGATTGGTTTCACTCTAGAGCAGCATGGTTTTAATAAGATCTACAGAAATAATCAGATAATAAATACATTATGCATTTGCCATTCATGTGGATTTAGAAGCATTGTCTGACTATAAAGCTGTCTGTTTTATTGCTTTTCTGACATACATTCACAGACACAGCCCCAATATAGCCAATAAGCAACTCAGAAAACCATTAGGTGTGATGGCTCTCAGTCGATCCAACATAAGCGTGATTTATACACTACATTAAAAGCTCTTGGCAACAAAATGACCTATTTACTACAGCTTTATTAAATATTAAAGCTGGGACATTCAAGGTTCGGCAGCTAGGATGAACATCGATTCTCACCGCAACGAGGTCCAGGATGTAAAGAGAACATACCGATACATCAACATGTTCCTGTGGTTAATGGAAAGCCAGGAAACTGTTCAGCAGTCAGATTCAAATCGTGGCACGCTGCTGCATGCGATCAGGTTTCTGAGTAGATTATGATATAAATAAAAGCCATTACATTATTGGTATTTGTTGTAGGAACTATTTATTTGTAATTAGTAACTTTTAAATTTGAGATACATTTTACAATTCTATTTTAGATGATGATAGCACATGATATTGGTGCAGTGGCCCGCCTCTGCAAAAGAACACTGCTTGAAATCCAGCTCTGATTTAGCAAAAGCTTACTCTCTTGTACCTCGGGTGCAATGGTAATTCAAACACAGTAGAGGGGGGACAACAGAGCTTATCAATTCCTCATTATCACTGCTGAGGTGCCCTAGAGCAAGGCAATACACCATCAGTGCAGTGGGGCTGCTCTGTATCCAGCTGTATGTGAATTTGGAGTGTTCGTGCTCTAAATTAAGTACTAAATGTCAATTATTTTTTCTAAACATTTACCACCTTCCCTGCCTTGCTGCTGTGATGAAAGGTGCAACTCTGTGCCACTATACTCTGTACATATAACTTCAATATTACCTTTTCTCCTGCACAGAAACAATTTGAAGGAAGAGAAAATGGTTATTGTTCCCATGGTGTTTTGCTGAGTCTCCAACAGTTTTCACTCATAACAACGAACAATGCTGTTCACATAGGACTGGCAATTTAAAAAGAACACAATCAAGCATTTAGCAATTACAGCCTTTTGATTTGAGTTATCATATTAAGTGCAGCTGTGCTTTGTGTGGGCTGTAATGTGAAATGCTAGAATACCATTTTCAGATCGTCAGCCCTCCTCCACATCTCTCCCTCGTTCTGTTCTGTTGTTAGCAATACAGGTGGAGAGCGTCAGAATATATGTAGGCGAGTGAGAGGGAGGGTAAGGCCATCATCTTCACATGGCAGAAGACAGAAGGATGAGTGGGCAGAATAGTGACAGAAAAGAAAGCGGGAATAGAACAGGACTTAAATGCAAAGTCAGTTTGGCAACCTCTTGAACATGTCAGTAAAGTGTTCAGTTATAATAATAATAATAATAATAATAATGCATTTTATTTATATGGGCGCCTTTCAAAGCTCTCAAGGACACCTTACAGAGCATAATTAAAAACAAGCAACGAAGNTTAATAACTATAATGATCATATCAAGGTGTGCCTTAACCTCACTGAGCTGAGTTCTACAACCAGGTGGAAGAGAGCTCTCTCCTGAGAGGCTCAAATAACCTCAGCTCAGTGAGGTTAAGGCACACCTTGATATGATCATTATAGTTATTAATGAGACATTAGAGACTCAATTATTAACAGGTATAAAATACTATATGACAGTAACAAAAAAAAGTTGTTAAAAATAACAAGAATAGAGTTTGAAAGGGGAGTGATTTGTAAAATATCCAAAAAGAAAAATCTGTCATTGTCAGATGGTATATTACGCTGTTTTTTTTCTGCTTCGAATAGTTCTCTCTTTTTTCACCATACCTGTGTTTGCATCACTGATACAAATACAGGGTTGCTTTCCTTCAGTATACATGAACTAATGAGCTTTTTCCCCTGACATTAACAGGAAATGGAGAAATCAGAGGCCAGCAACTTCTTGGTTTTGTTCCGAGATGGCGGCTGTCAGTTTCGCTCTCTCTACATTTGCTGCCCCGAGATGGAGGAGATCAACAAGCTGACAGGTATCGGCCCCAAGAGCATCACCCGCAAGATGATCGACGGCCTCTACAAGTACAACTCGGACAAGAAGCAGTTCAGTCAGATTCCAGCTAAGACCATGTCAGCCAGCGTGGACGCGGTCACCATCCACAGCCATCTCTGGCACACCAAGAAGCCCGCCACCCCTAAAAAAGTAGTGCCTGTCCAGTCCTAATGGAACTTGATACCCCAGACTTCACCATTACCCCCTCAAATGGAACATACCCATTTCAATTTGCACTTCACTGTAAATACTCCATGAAGATTCAAGCACCTGCAATGCCAGTTAGATGAATGCATACTTGTCTTATTAATGTGTGTTTGTTTTATCCTCTTATTGCATTCCTGTCCTTGTCTTTACTACTTACTATGGACTGGACATGATAGGACTCAAAGATTATGAACAACTGGAATGTATGCCACCTTTTAAGAATGATGTAAATGCTTATCACAGCTGTGTTTTTAGAGATTTTACATGTTTAAGTCTAATTATGAAGGCATGTGTGAGTGTTGTTTTTCCTATGTGCCAAAAGTCAAAAAAAGAGACAGTATGAATGCCAGGACATTTTAACGAAGCACTGAATGTTTTGAATTCATGTACAGATTGATTTATGTTGTGCATTATCCTGTTGTGGGGCCTTATACGCGTTTGTTTTAGCGTGTGAGCGCAATGAGGTGTTTGCGAGACAGCGTATACAGAGGCTTTTTTTGTATTTGGAAGAACACTTTTTGTCATCTCTGTAGGTTGAACAGTTTGTATATTAAGGTACGTTAAACTACAAAGGGCCAAAAAATGAATTGCATACAGCTAGTAATAGCAACACAGTTAATGTGTGTTCAACTCAACAAAGCTAAGCGGTTTCAGCTTTTTTCAAACCCCTTTTTAAGAAAGTGATTTTAAACAATGCAGGAAGTTACTTTAGATCACTGGTTCTCAACCTGTGTGTAGGGACACATGCAGACAATTTAACGTATGATGTGTGTATATTTCTTATATACAAATATGCTGTCAAGTTTGTATTATTTTTTCTCAAAATATACAGTAGTAGTAGACAGTGAAAAGTGCTTGCTTTTCACTTGGGGTGGGCAGAGAACCAGTGTTTGAGATCACTTTGCTGCTGTTTCAGAGCACATTGTGAACAAATTAAACTTCAGTATTATTTATATTCTATTTTGAAATGCTGCCTAATGCACCATGTAGGATCTTTGCAGTATATTATGTTGTACAATTCAACTTTCACCCACTGATATCAGGAATATGACTCAATGTCAGGTCATAACGACACTTACAGTAAGAGGTTTTTCTCTTCACAGCAATATCAGGATTTCAAATAAAAAATGTACTTTGTTTTCAACATTATTAAATTCTTCAGATTCACAACTATCCTAACAAAGTCTACACTTATGTTACTCTTAAGCACTTTTGGTAAAGGTATCCACCAAACACAAATTGTAATAAAGATTTACATTTTCAAATTCACAAAGAAAAATCAATTGCTCTGTTATTAAAATAAAAAGACATCACAGCAAATTTTGCCTGATTAATGAACATGGCCAAACTTTTATTATGATTGTCATTTTCAACACCTTTTTTCATATTTGCTCTAAATTCAGAAATGTGTGTTGACCCAAATTACGCATTAGGGGATTTTCTATGTTGCATACATGTAACATGTCCTAAAATGGCCAGGTATATAGTCATTTTATTAGATT